TTCTCGTGGAGTAGACAATAAATATTTCATCTCATTTTCTATTGTCTTCTAGAAAGTACAAAGTAAAAAAAGAAACCCTATCCTAAGTCATTCCTTTGCTTGTCTCAAACTCTCTACTCATTATCCCTAGGCCCTAATCTCTACTCTAAACCATTACCCAAGTTCACCACTTTGTGGTTCGCCACTTGGCTATTTGTGTTCTTGACTTCCATTTTTGAGTTAGCATAGCACCACACTAAGGTATTGTACTTTTTTTATTTTCATTTTTTATTTGTGTTTTCTTTTTTTGGTTTCTCCTTATGCTTTGGTATAAGTTTAGTAGTTTAGCGAATATTACTATCATTATTTTTGTATGTTTGTTTTGATTGTTCCTTTTCTTTTATTGTATACTATGCTTTGATAGTGTTTTGCTTAGGTATGGTGTGTGGTGTTTTATGTGACTATAGCAAATGCAAGACATTGAAATAAATGTTATTAAGAGTTTTGTCTCTAGTTTTAACTATGGTCTAAATTGATTTAACCTACTTGTGTAACATGAAAATCAACTAACTTGAAGCCGTCTAACTCGAAGCCATGTTCCGATTAGAAACAAGCCTATATTTTTCTTGTTTGATTTTGGCTGGCCTCATTAATTTGAGTTCAAACTCGATTGAAGCTGACTTGTGATTAGGCCTAATTCAAACATATAATATATTGAAAAACACTAAAATAATTGATAATTGCCTTATTTTTTTATTTAGTTAATCTCTTAAACTTATTGTAAAGGTTAGTTTTTATGCAATTTGATTAATGTGCATAAGAATCTTTTGTTTGAACAACAATTCATACTTATAGTTTTTCATGTTGATGAATTCAATGGTATTACTTTCGCATCTTGAGTTAAGGTAAAAAGTCTTCAAAATGATATTCAAAAATTGAAATAAAAAATCATTATTAATTTTATTTAGTTCAATTCTTTAAGCTTATGGTAAGGATCACATTGTACAAATCGATAATCGATATCGTATTCTACAAATCAATGGATGAAATCTCACATCATACAAATCAAAGTCTAAGATCACACCATACAAATAAACATGCTAGAGAGCTTTATAAAGGTTTGTCTTTTGTGACAAATAAATGAATATTTGAAAGAAAAATCAGTATTGTTTACTTAGTCAAGTCCTTTAAGATTATCCAAAGGGTTCACACTATACAAATCAATGATCAAGATTACCCTGTGTATAATGCTTACTCGATGAAAATGAGTGACTTGAATATAATGGAGATGAATAGTATCATGATCCAAAAATGAGAAGAAACTTCAAAGGTTATCCAAAATCTATTCACAATACACTAAAATAAACTTTAGAAAAAAGGGTCAATCCAAATAATATAGTTATTGTCGAATTGTTAGATACTCAAGAGAAAAAATCTCTACAACTTTGATTATAATAATCTATTTTTTAAAATTATTTTATATTTGAATAATTAAAAAAATAAAAGAAATTTCATGTATTTATTTCTTTGTAATTTATTTTAATTAAAATTTTTCATTTAAATTTAATATATACTTTAATCAATTCTTTACGACATTATACTTTATTCACTTTATATATATATTAAAAAAATTATAACTTCAAAAAAATGCTGAGAAGCCGAACCCCTCAATGTACACACCAAAAGGGTGACATATCGAGAAATATTTATCTTTCATTCTCACCCCCTCCCCCTCTCATTGTTTTTGTTTTTCACTCTATTCAATTTGTTTTGCATTGTTATGATCATAATACCTCTCATGAAAACATGTTTCTGTTGGAGCTAATACAAAATAGAAACATGTTTAAGTTTCGTATTATGAGTACTCTCCCTCGATACAAAATGGTAATATGTAAAAAAAAGAAAATCCCAATACAAAATGCAAAAATATGTTATAATTCCTATGTATAAAAAAATGGTAATATGTTTTTGTTATGTTTTGGATCTAATAACACAAAAAATATTTTTTTGATTTTATTTTAAATTATGGGTGCACTCCAATACAAAAAAAAAAAATTGTTTTGTTTTCCATTTTGTACTATGGATAGAACCAACCTCAAGGCACCAACTACTAAGATATCACTAGTCTCATTACATCAAAGAGATGTTATTGATATTATTCACACCGTAATACATTTCCTTAGCTAAACTCCCTAACAAGACCCATACATTGAAGAAGTTTTGATCCCCTTATAGTCGCACATTCTCGTTGACCTTATCTCCATATATCTTGATGGACCTCAAACTTTAAACCTGACAACTTGGTTAGTGTAGATTCTTTTCTTTATAGATTGAGATCTTTTATTGAAGGACAAGTCAATAGTTGGCCCATGTAACAACCCAAACACACTAGAATGAGAGGGATCTAAAGATTGTATAAGTATGAGATTATATACTTGAAGATGACTTAGATGAATTAATTTGTACTACCTATATTAATAAGATGCATCTACTTTTCAGTATAACTTATTCCATAAGAACTCCATAGTTAAGCGTGTTTGACTTGGATTAATTTGGATGGATGCCCTTTTGGGAAGTTTCCCAAAAAAACATGTGAGTGAAGACAAAACATGCTAAAAAGTCTTGTATTGGTTTGTGGGGTCAATCATTGATCCTAAAAGAGGATATGCATCAGAAAGGGCTACCCACAGAGAGTGAAGTGACTAAGAGGTCAAATTTGAGAGGTGTTACAAATGGTATCAGAGCATGTCCTCTCTCCTATACGGTGTGGTTCGGGGGCGAACCAAGCGGAAATCGGTGGGCTTGTAACAACCCGAATGCACCAGAATGAGAGGGATCCAAAGATTGTACAAGTATGAGATTGTATAGTTAAGAATAACTTAAAGAAATTAATTTGTGTTACCTATACCAATAAGATGCATCTACTTTTCGATAGCTTATTCCATAAGAACTCCACAGTTAAGTGTGCTTGACTTAGAGTAATTTAGGGATGGGTGACCTTTTGGAAATCTCCCCAAACAAACGTGTGAGTGAGGACAAACCATGCTGAAAAGTCTTGTGTTGATTTGTGGGGTTAGTCATATTGATCCTAAAATGTGGACAGACATCTTAGAAAGGGCTACCCATAGAGGATTTTGACCAACAAGGAGTTGCGTGAAGTGTCATTGTGTGAAATGTTGTGAAATAGAGCCGTTAAAAGTCAAATATGAGGGGTGTTACAACCCACATGCTCTATTTATCTTTTAGCTATGCTTTTGAAAATCACTCCAAGTCTAATGTGAATAACTAAATAAAGCCAAAAAATTGAAAAGCTATAAGTAAAGGTGTAGAAGTTGAGAGAAAATGAGTTTTGATCAACCTCCTACACCATTTTGCTCCTATGAGGGAGCAATAATAGTTCAACATTATCCATGAGAGTATAATGGTTATATTGAGCCTCTCGTGTCATTTTCTTGTTAAAATTTGCCCCTCTAAGTCCTTGATCTATCCTTGTGAGGATGCTTGCTTGTGACTTTAGCTCATATTTGATCGTAAAACTTTACCATCTCTTCAATTTGTATATACCTTATTGCTTATGCCCAAAGTTCATTCATGTCGATCAGAGGTCTTTTACATAGATTATTCAAGAATGGTCAAACTTGAGACTCATAAGCTTGGAATGAAGGTAAGTTTCTGAATTAAGGTTTCAAATCCTTATAGAGACAGATGAATTGTTCCATAAAATATTGGAGCTACTCGTCCCCATCTTGACGAAGATTCACGAAATTCATTAAAGTTAAGCAATGAGAATGATTAGTGATGTATTATTAGGCACTAAACCTCACAACCAAAGTTTCAAAATAATCAAAAGAGTAGGAAAGCAACTAAGTGAACCAACTCAAATTTGTTGCCTTTAACGAAGTGGAAAAAAACTTAACATCAAATAAGATAATTATTAAACAAATACATTTTTAGAATTTTATCTGAACCTCTCATCTTTTATAATGTATGTCTTTTATTTTTAGTTTTAAATTCAATTTTAATATTTTAAAAAATTATTAATAATTAAAAACAATTTTTATTATGATATAAATTATTTATTATAAATTTAAAATATAATTTATATGCTTAAAAACATTTATTATTATAAATTTTATTTATAGTATAGTTTAATATTTAAAAATATTTATTTATTATAAGTTATAGTTATATAATATAATTATTTATTTTGTATGCTATATACATATAAATTAGAATAGTTATCTTAAATGAAATTATTTTTAAATAGATATTAAAGTATACTTAATATAATTAAAAAAAAATTATGTGTTGAAGTTTTAATTATATAAAATAGACACTCACTTTATATATTGTACAATTAAAATATTAAATTAGGATTTTAAATTATGCACATGAAACATTATGTTTTCCATTTTTTTCTTAATTTTTATGAATAGATAAATTAAAAAAATATATTAAAGAGTTTAAAAAATGATGTACAATTTAAATCTACGCATAAAAAGAATTCTAAGTTTTTTGTGTGTAATTAACATGTTAACAATGACATTTTAATTAAAAACATTTAAAAAAAATAAAAATAAAAAGTAATTAACAACGATATTAACGAAATGATTAACAAGAACGGTGAACACTTTAATTGTAAAATCTTAAATTATATGGTATAAAAAGAAAAAATTAAACTAGAAAGATATTTTTAAATTATTTTCAAATACAAAGATCTGATTAAATCTAATTTAAATTTTAGTCTGATGTTTATTATATACTATATAATTAAAATCTATAATATGTAATATGTATAAAAATATTATATTTGAATATATAAATTATATTTTAGATTTATAATAAATAATTTATATTATAAAAAAAATAAATTTTCTTTTAATACCCTCTTGCATAATATAAAGGTTATCTTTAATATATAGTATTGACTATAGGACAAACAAATTAATTTTTTTTAACCCAATTGTGCAACATAAACCTTGAAGTGATTCAGTTATTAAATTGGTTTGGTATCCCAGCTGTTCGGGGAAAATCCTGAATGAGCATTGGCTTTATTCTGTAAGTTTCTTTTTCTTTTTTCTTAATACCTATTGCCACAAAAACCACCTTCTGAAAAACCAGAGAAGACATTATTGCTTTCTGCCTTTCTCATTGTTTGCTTGCCACTCTCGGATACTTTTATTTGTGTATTATGTACAAGTACAACATATACATGTATGCTTTCGAAGGAAATAATGAAGACAAGCAATAAAAAATCAGAAACAGAAACCAATGATCATGTTGTATTACACTGAGGGGAATATGATTTAGATGAATGAGAAGAATCTGAAGCTGATGATGAGGGGTAACATGTGCAACTGGGGTCATGAATGACCTTCTTCATAGTGATATCAAGTTTGGAACAAAAAACACAATACCTTCCTCTGAAACTTAGGTAATCCCAATTATCTTCTTCTTTGCTAGAATCATCGTCCTTCTCTTCTGCATCATCATCATCATCAACATCATCCTCAATGGGGGTGTAAACTAACCCGAACAGTGGAAAAACTAGCACAAGCAATTGGTCAATGCTATGATTGCTCCATTTCCTTCCTCTCTCCCAAATCATCATTGTTGGAACTATGACTCCGGCTCCAACCCCAAAACCGATTCCGGTGCACATATACTGCCAATCAAACTTCATGGTTGATTCTGTAGTTGCAGGACTGATATTGGCGGTGCATTTAGTCAAAGGAGGGCCACACAATCCTTTGTTACCAATGAAGGAAGTTTCTAAAAATGATTGAATTTGGGTACCTGTGGGGATTTTCCCAGACAGATGATTAAAGGAAAGGTTCAGAAATGATAGGAAGGATAAAGTTGCAAGTTCTGCGGGAATGTTTCCTTCCAGTGAGTTATTTGACAGGTCTAAGGACTCAAGATCCTTCAAATTTCCTATTGATGATGGAATTTGGCCAGAAAAAGAATTTTTTGACAAGTTCAGTATATAGAGTGCTTTAAAGTCAAATAGCTCTTCTGGTATTTCCCCTTCGAAATGGTTGGATGAGAAGTCGACCGAAGTGAAGACAGTTAGAATCTTAACCAGATTCATCCGTTGACCTTTAATTGTAACTGTCACTGAATCCTGATAATATATTTGGTCGCCGAAACGAAGAAACTGATATTGGATGTGATTTACCTTGGATTCAGCTTGGTTTTCATCAGACGTCATTGCCTCCCACGTTGTGAAGCACTTTGCAGGTAGCTTGCCACTGAAATTGTTAATGGCTAGATCCACTATTTGAAGCATGTGCCAAGTGCCATTGGTCTTTGGACATCCAATGTGACCATAAAATTTATTTTTTCGCAAGACCAAGACCCGGAGTGTGGATATGTTCTTCAGCAAGCATGGAAAGGCATCCATAATATTGTTATTTCCGAGGTCTAACACTTCTAATGTTGTGCAATTAGAAAGAGATTTTGGAATCTTTCCATCCAATTTGTTGTGATGGAGATTCAGAGTCCTTAGTGCACAGGCAACTGAAAACATATCTGGGATAGGGCCTGTGAGGTTGTTCTTTCTCAGGTTCAATACCCCAAGTGTCTGACCCATTGTCATTAAACATGAGGGAATTGTTCCAGAAATGTTATTATGGGAAAGATCAAGCACTTGAAGATATGAAGCATTGCAGAGGGAATCGGGGATGCTGCCACTCAAATTATTATTTGAAAGAGAGAAAAAAATAGTGAAAGACAAGTATTTACCAATATCTTGTGGGATAAAAGAATTAAATTTGTTTCCTGAGTAATCCAAATACGTAGCATATTTAGGAAAAACAGGTACCGGCCCCTGAAGTTTATTGAAATGAAGGTCAAGGACATACAAGTTGGAAGAAAGGTTCTGCAAAGGTCCTTCCAAATGAGTCAACAAATTATGGGAAATATTGAGGTTGACAAGATTCTGTAGTTTCCAAATCCAGTTGGGCACTATTCCTTGAATATGGTTATCTGAAAGATCTAGAGTTGCTAATCTGGAATGGTTTCTCAAGAAGGCAGGGAAAGTTTTCAAGTTGCAGGATGCCAATTTTAGAGTACTAATGCTGGGAAAGGATGATCGGTCAAGATTTGTAACATTCACATCGGCTGATAGGTTGTTATATGAAAGGTCTAGTGTAGTTAAATTTTTGAGCCCCAAAAGCTTATTTAGATGCATTGACCCATTGAACTTGTTTGAAGAAAGTTGAAGGATAGAGAGTGTACTGAGCTGGAAGATAGATGTTGGAAAAGGTCCTGATAGATTGTTGCTACTTAAATCAAGGATGTTTAATTTAGAAGAAGAGACATTTTTGAATTCACCTAGTTGACCAAACTGATTGTGGGAAAGCAGAATCCTTTGCAGTTGTGGGAGTGTAAAAAGGGATGCAGGAATTATCCCATTGATCGAGTTATAACCCAAGTCAATGCTGACAAGGTTGTTCAGTCCTTCAAAGTGAGAAGATGGTGGAATTGCGCCACTCAAACCATTATTAGAAAGGTCTAAGTAGGTAAGCTTTTTGGCCATTTCAAATGATGGCATTTGACCAGTGATGTTGTTATATGACAAGTCCAGGTAACTGAGCTCTGTGAGGTTTGATAGTGAACTGGGAAGTGTTCCGTTAAATCGACAATAAGAAAAATCCAATTCAGATAAGTTCCTCATGTTACGGATAGAGTGTGGAAATTCTCCAGAGAAGCTTGTGTTGCTTACTCTTAAGGTCCGAAGAGATCCACCCGGTGGGAAGTCTGGAAAGAAACCATGGAGATTGTTGTTGAGTGATATGTCAATAACTGACAATGTTCCAATGCTGAAGATATCCTGTGGAAATGTTCCAGTCAAGCCACAATAAACAAGACTTAAAATGGTGAGATTTTTCAAATGGGCAAATGTTTCTGGCACTGGGGATGATAAATTATTCTGATCAAGAACAATGACCGATAGATTCCCAAGTCCTGTCAGGGAAGGATCAAGGGGTCCTGAAAGATTGCAATGAGACATGCTAAGTTCTTGCAGGTCATGCAGCAACAACAAAGCGTTGCACCATTCATGTCCTGGAACTGTTACACTTACACCATCTAGATAGAGTTGCCTAACACTAGTAAGATTTTGGACAAGCTTTGGTAGATTTGGGTTCTCAAGCTTCAGCTCTTGCCCAGTTAAAAAGGAAAGAGAAGAGATATCAAGAGTAATCAACCTTGTTAGCTGAGAAATCTCAATGGGAATCTGACCCACAAAGCCAGCATATGACAAATTCAGATAAGTCAACTTCTCCAACTTGTTAAATCCAGATGGAATGACAGAACTGAAATTATTAGCAGCCAAATTCAATTTCTGGAGATGTTGAAGACTGAAAACAACACTTGAATCATCAAATCCACCACTGATCAATTCTCCACTCAGGTCAAGGCCAATGACATGTCCCTCATTGTTGCAGGTTACACCACTCCAATCACAACAATCAATGCTTTGGCTCCACAACTTCAGTTTGGTGGAATCTTCAGGATTGAATGTGAGGTTGTTCTTCAGTTGAAGCAGCAACGATTGTTGATCCTCGAGACATCTGCCAGTGGTGACAGAGAAGTAGGTACTGAGATATAACAAGTATAAGAGAAAGAAAGAAAACAAGGAAACTAATGTTAGTCTCATTGGTGTCTACTCTGAGTGACAACGGCACAACACAACACTGAAGAAGTGAAGGAACAAATGTTGGTCTCATAAGGTTTAAGACCCATGAACAAGACCCTTATGCATTATGCCCCATGTTCTCCACTCTTTATCTTTCTTAAACTCACCTAAATTTGGCAAGGAAGGGTAGCCAAAGTTGTAGAAGTTGTGTTGAAGAAGTGTGGATTAGCATGGGATATTTTGAAAATAGATTGGTCAGAACACCAACTTAGAGATATTGCACCTTTCAAAGTAAACCGTGTCATAAGTCAAACTTGATTTGTATAATGCTATATTGCCAAAACAGAAGAAAAATAAGGCTGCGTTAGTTGTGGACCAAGCTTATTTTTATTGCATTCTACGCGTTTATATGTCGGCCCTTCTAATCACGTATTGACTTTTTGGGTAGCTTCTTAGATGGGACTCTGCAAATTTGGATTATTCAAAGCAACGACTCTTCTACATAGAATACTGATGAATTTTTTGTACTTTTCACCATGATAATGATGATTTCCATTCAGAGAATGGTCATGGCCTAAATGTTTGGTATCATTTCATTCATTATGCATAATTCTAACGTTGAGTGTCATCTAAAAAACAAAAAAGTCTTACCGTTGAGGTTGTTTTTCATCAACGGAAAATCTTCATTTTCAATTATTGTTTCTAATGATGACATTTTGATTCATTTTGTTTCTTAAAAAAATTCACTCCTATATAACTATCCTTCCAATAACATCATATTAAAAAAAATACAAACAATTATTTTGTGCGAAATTGATTTTACCATGTTTCTCTTTATTAAAAGTATGTTTAGGTGATTTTTTTTCAACTAGTAGATATATAGGAATTTTTTTTCCAGTTTTTATCTATTTTTATTTGTATTTGTCATATATATATATATATATGTATATATATATTTTAAATTGAATCTAATATTTTTAAAATAAATTATTTTCACAAATATAAATTATAATGTATAAATTCAACTATATAATATTTATTTATATGTATAAGTTATTATAAATTTTATTCATATATGTATATATATAATAAACATTTAACATGTATATTACACAAATAAAGATACTAACATACTTGTTTATAAAATTTATTTAGTTATTTTTGTTTAACTTTTTTTAAGTAATATATTTACTCTCAATTAATATGAAAAAAACTTGACACACCAATTTATCATGATAAAGATTTATCTCTACTTTTGAATATGAGAATGTTTTATATACATTCATTCATTTATTAACATTTTGAGAATCATTTATTCTTAAAAAGTTAAATATATTTCTTCAAGTTTTAAATTTGGTTTCTTTAAAAAAAATTTCTTTATTTTCATTCCTCTAAAATTAAAACTGTTGTTTTTAGTTCTTATTTTTATATGTAATCATTTTAACAATTTTTTATTTATTAAAAGTTAAGTAATTATTTTAGGTGTTACTCATATTAGTGATATTATATCAGTGTGATAATTCTAAACAAAAGTGCACAAATCCTTAAAATAATTATTACTTATTTACCTTGAAATATTTATTAATGATCAAAAATAGTGATTTAATTTTTAGAGAAATAAAAAAAAAATATTTTACAACGGTCAAAATCAAAATTATTTATTTCATGAAGGCAAAAATAATATTTAATTTCATAAGGACAAAAATAATATTTATAAATTTTAAAAGAATAAAAATATTTCTTTTTTACAAAACTAAAATCAAAGTTCATTCATTTGTCAAAAACATATATTTAAGCTTTCTCTTAAGAAAATAATATCATTACACCCTCTTTGATCAAACATAGGATGCTTTTATTTCCTCGTCATTTTTACAAAAATATTTAAACATTTCTTATACCAAAACTTACCAACGACAAAGCATATGAATATTACCGTTTTCCTCGCTTTACCCTAGACTGGGATCTTAAACGTGCTTTGTCTTCTTCTGTTGAACCAACAGCAATGTTTGTAATGATATTCTTGTTAACCTAAATTGTTGTTGGATTATATATGACAAGAAGATAATGTAAAATTACGTTAAGATATGTACTAATGTGATTTTAGATAAATATTTATATATTTAACTTCACGTTAAAGAATTGATTGATAAAATAAGACATCTTAATATAAATTATTTTACTTTTTTTATTCATTAGATTTACTATAAAGACACTAGAGTATTTAAAATTCTACACATACTATTTTAACTCTTACCATTCGGCCTTTCTTCACTTGATCAAAATTGATTTATTATTATTATTATTATTATTATTTATAATAAAAAAACTTTGTAAATGCTCCATCACCCAAACACACTAAATTTCACATGCAAGGGTGAAGAGATAGTCAGATAGATTGATCTAAATCGCTTATAAATATATTTTATGAATGCAGATGAAATAAAAAATATCTTAATACATTAATTGGAGTTCAACATGAACACATGATGGATGGCAGTCAAGTGGATTTATTTGTTGTTAAATTAGTATTGCTATGCAACAGACCGACAAGAAATTTCACATTTGAATATTAAGCTGAAATATATAAATAGAAGGGTTATAATAATATCGGTATAACTTTTATTAAGTATTACGTTACTCAATAATTTTATATTAAATTTGAATTTTGTAAATTCAACCGTTATATTGAAAGTTCTCTACTCTTAGATCATATATACAAAATGTTATATTAATTCAAGATGATTTAATATTTCATTCTTATAAAATAAAATTGACATAATAAATTCATTTTAGGATATACCAAAATATGAACACTTTGATTACCTTCAAGTTGTTGTTCAATTTTAACAAAATTTAATATACACATATAGAATAATATGAACTTTCAATCTAACGGATGAATTTATAAAATTTACATTTAATATAAAATTATTAAATAATATAATACTTAATAAAAGTTACACCGGTATAATTATAACTTCTTATATATAAATATTAAATAGCTGGCAACCTCTTAGACTTTTCAGATATTGAATTGAATGATCGATATATTTCGTTCTTTTCACGCATATAAAGAAAATGCCCACAGCAGCATACTTGCAAAGAAAGAAATAAAGTTTTCGAAGAGATTTATTGTATATTGCTAATGCTTTTTAAGTTTCTTCCTTTAGTTTATTTTATGAATTTATTTCGGTTGAACCATCATAAAATTTATTAATTTTTATTACGATAAACAATGCTCATAATAAAATGTTTTTTGACACTGATATTGATTATTGATTACTTTTTAAAAATTCAATTTTATAACATTTTAAAAATTACTTATTTATATGATGTAAAAAAAAACTCTTTAGAGAGATTCACAAGGAAATAATTATTTATTCAAAATAAATTGAAAAAAAAAATAGTTTGGATTACGTGTGATTTAAATTTCCATTTTTTTGTCAATTCAATTATATTTTTATTTTCAAATTTATAAAAATTTTCTTTTTCTTTTTAATTTATTTTGTACTTCAAATTTTCAAGTTCCGACTATTTTACTTAAAATCTTTATTACTTGAATTGATTAAATTGTTTTAAACATTTAATAATTGGAATTCATCAACTAAAACACCAAATCTTACGCAAAATAAAAACATCAAAATTTCCCCTTTTCAAAATCCTAATTTTTAATGATTAAATCACTTATTTGGTCCTTATATTTGTATGATGCTTTCACTTTAGTCATTGAAAAGAGGGAAAAAAAAACATCTTAAATTGGTATTTTGTCTTTCACGTTAGTCCCTTGGTAGATGTCTCTTAATTATTAACCCTGTTAAAAGTGATTTGGCAGGTTAAGTTGCACATAATTTGCTAATTGCTGTTTCATGTGGCTTCACATAAGTATGGTCTAGAATGAAAGTTTTCTTGCAACAGTAAAAAAAAAAAATTCCATAATTTGTATCATTCTTCTTTGAACCTCTCCCACGTCAATATCTTTCATTCCCTAATCACACATAGATAAAGTTAATTATGCTAATATATTTAGTCATGTTCAAACTGACTTAACCATGTTAAGAATGATCAACTCACATTGACATATTACGTCTTTAACAAATTGTTTATGTAAGATAACAATTTTCTCACTTTTACATCTCTTTGATAGTTATAAATAGGGTTTCACATCATAAGTACAGACATGTTATCTCATTCTTATATTGTTACCTTATTTAAATACTTAATGACTTCTGTGTTGGAATGCATATATAAGTGACCATCACTGTCAACTCTCATTACTTGGACTTTGCTTTGCCAAAATTGGATTCATCAACACGTTCCATAACAATTTTAATTAAAGAAAAATCTTTAAAAAAACACCATCTTTTAAACAGCCAATGAAGTGACTCAAGTGCCTTCCAAATTCCCTTATTCGCTCCAAATTCTAAATAGACAGTTGGACGCTTTCATGGTCTGTTCGCTCCAAATTCTGAATGTGCATTTCATTCCAAAGATGGTTTGTTGTCCAAAGTATACCATGCATTTCATTCCTATTTTCTTCCCTTTTTTCATAGACATTTTCGTTCCTTCTTCATCCTCAAATTCTTATCTCTCTTTATTCATGGGTTCACGGTCTTAGAAACAAGTTCTGTTTTGGAAAGCACGTAACGTGCATAAATTATCAAAGAATTACTTGCAAAACAGGAAAATTATCACTTTCAATTTATCAAAGAAAGTTCCAGGCATATATACAAGGTTAAAAATTGTGTTAATTCATGTGCATGGTTGTTGGTTGGGTGCAGGTTCCGATGGAGTAATTTTTTTCATCTCGCACCGTCTGAATTTATCTCTCTGAAACATATATAGTCTTGTAAATGTAATAAGTTGTCACAACTTAAAATTGATCATTGTAAATCACAACAATTTTAAGCTGATCTGTTCCTTAATATGCCCAAAATACCAGTAATCATTTATCATTCAAAATTCAACTTTTAAGTTGAAAAACAATACAAGGTAACATATACGAGATCAACTAGCTTCTTAACCATACAAGTCTAAAATTGTTAACTTTGTGTTTATCATTTAAGGACAAAAAATAATAAGTTCTGCAATCACGGATTTGGTTTTCAATTAAAAAACTACATGACTTTTCTAATATAAATTTTCAACCCTATTAGCTATTGTGATTTAACCTACACTACAGTTAATTGATATTTATTTTGTCGACTTTCATTTTTTTTTCTTTCAAGTATTAATTCCTTCAAACAC